ACAGCACTCAGCATCAAAAATAAGATCTGGAATTTCAACTCCGATCTGAAGTCAGTGCTACTTAACATACGGATCAGAAACTTGCACTGCGCATCATAAAGAGCATCTCAAACAAACTACAGACCTTCATTAACAGTTGTCTTCGCTCATTACTCAAGGTCAGATGGCCGGCCAGGAAAGATCAGCAACAGAGATCTCTGGCAATGAGCGAACCAACCAGGAATCGATTGTGAAACAAATAGGCAGCGAAAAATGCAGATGGATTGGCCATACTCTGAGGAAACCATCAAGTGAAACCACTAGACAAGCCATTGCTCGAGTGGAACCCGAAAGGGAAGTGTCGAGTGGGTCGTCAGTGCAAGGGTGACTTGGAGGAGGTCATGTGAAGAGGAGATGAAAACGTGTGGGCAGACTTGGAGCCAGATAAGGACTCTAGCAGAGAACCAAACGCAATGGAGACGCACGGCTGAAGCCCTATGTTCCTCTAGGAATGAAAGGAAACAATAATGATAATAATATACAGGAGTTTAATAACTGCCATCCTTCAATTAAATTCACAGTCATGAGGTCAGCTAAAGGTGACTACTGCAGACAACAGAGTGAAATGAAGGCTTGACTGTGTCCAGTCTCCAAGTTGAATACACATATATGCCATTTGAAATGATAGAGGAGGCTTCTGTAGAGGTTTTCGGTGTTATTTTAGTTGTGTAATTTCAGTTGGATGGTTTAATTACAAAGCTTTCATCTTATGTCAGAGGTATCCTCAAAATGAAGTAAGCTCTTGGTTTTCTTCATAACACAAAACAGTGTCTCACCTGATGAACTCGAACATGAGCAGTTATCCCCCAAAGCTTTTATCCATCCTGTCACTCACACTTGTATTTGTACTGATTATTACGTTGATGTGACATTTACAGGATTGATTATAAGCGGACAATAGTAAGAGAACCATCAGAAAACCACATAGCAATACGAGATAGTTGTTTCGCACTTGTCTGAGATTCTTCATCAACACGCGATTACCATGGTTCTCACTCAGGACCATCTGTGTACAGCAAGTCAAGCTCCCTGACCATTCAACCATTTGGACCTGACCCAGTGGTCCATGAGCTCCACAACTTCTACCAATTCGTGGTACACATTTAGTGCAACCGCCAGCCAGTGTCACAAGATGTTGAGCTTAGGACGAAACAGATATCCAGTAATCCACTACAGCATTCCAGAGGTTCTTTAACTGATGTCAGTTGGTGGTCGATCCCGTAACCAATCAAATTCCTGCAAACCAACACTTGACTGAGAAATGATCGCGTTCATCGTGTGGCTTGCTGTGTTATTACTTGGTAAATCTGATCTGTATTAGTGAGTCTGATGATTCAATCAAATTTCTGTTCAGCAGCAACACCTGTAATTTATTCAACCGGTCACACACTTGTGATTGACTCAAGGGGTTGGACTTTCTGGCAGCGAAACGCGTCAACCGACAGACTGATACTAATCGACAATTTTGACTGACCGTAGCTCTCTTTCACCAGCTGGTAGAATTAGGAACTCATGGAACACTGGATATTATACGAAGTTAGTGTTCAATCGATTAGATCTCCGAACGGCATCATCGGAATGTACAACCGAAGGGTTCTAGCCTAGGATGGGTCGGATGTTGAATACTCCTTGGTTTCTGATGCTTTATGAGCTAATTATCTACGGGATCACCTACTCGTCTCATTGTGCTGTTGCCAACTGCTTCCCTAACTAACTCTTCCAAACTGAACAGCTTTCTATCGTCTAGTCTAAGCTTAATGCTCTAACCGTCAACTAAACCCCTCCAAATATCAGACAGTCAATTTCACTTTCAGCAATTAACCTCATCTTAACGAACTTATCACTACACACGATGCTCTCAGCTTGGAGGCCACTGATATAGACAATAAGTCAGGCATAGAATACCCTCCTATATTCCTTTACCCCTACGTCTCTTCACCTCCCTATATCTTGTCTATTTCTAAGAAAATCCTCAGTCTAACCGTCTACATTGAGAAGTTAGAACAGTTCGGAATCACTCAACCTCAACTTTTACAGTTTGTTAACTCCCCCATCTTACCAACTGCTCTTCATTGCTCCCCTCAAGCACACCTTACTCTTTCCTGGACTACCTACTCAAAAAGGAGTATGTCCTATTACGCAGAGTATTAAAGGTCCTTAGTAGGGTAAGTTGTGTGCCAACTTAGTCGACAGAAACCTAAACTCATGTGAGAATCTGTCTAAATCTATACTGTCTGACTCTCGACACTCCATCCCGTCTCTATTCACAACTCTCACCGCTTTCCATCTCATCTGGTAGGTCTGTCTAGAAGTCATTATAAAAGATGATATGCTCGATTGCACAACCAAGTATAATAATTCAACGATACTCTATTCGGCCATCCCACCCAACTGCCTTCTACTTCATGAAGATAAACACGTGGAACTTACGAATTACGGTGCTATTAGCATCTTTTAAAAATGGAACAGTCATTCTCTTATATTTGTTATTGCTTGGTGACACTCACTATCCCATTATCTTGTGTCAGTAATACTGACAACATCATTATTCTTATCATAATGTTCTTCTACTAATGCCTAAAGTTGTTGGTGTTACCAATAATCCTGGTCAAGTGTACCCTGTACTTCTGTTGTTCTTTCTGTTAAGTGGATTAGACGCAATTATTGTACAAAATGCTGAAATCTTCACACTGTTTTGGAATAAAGCAAATCATCATTATTATTGGGTAATTGCATCATCACTCCAGCCATTGATGAAGAATTCTAGAAAAACTCTCACGGATGCCTAGACGAAGCAGACAATCAAAGCATCGCAATTGAAACACACCACACCTCTAGCTCAGAGAAAACAAAAACAGAAGAAAAATCTTTTCTTAAAATATGTGATTTTCACTCTAACAACTAGTCTAAATATCCGTATGAAGGTGTGAAATATATATATGCAGAGTGAAGTGGCTCACTGCACCAGTTCATTGATCGCCTAACTTATCTATCTAGAAAATGCCCAGTAGGCCGAGATTAGGACTTTCCAGAAGTTCTCCGATGGTTTTTATCTAACTAACTAATGCCGAAATCCTGAATCCAATGAAATCCCTGCAAACCAACACTTGAGTATCAATCTGATTATTATTATAATATTATTGTTTCCTTTAATTCTTAGAGGAACATGGGACTTCAGCCGCGCGTCTCCATTGCGTTCGGCTCTCTGCTAGAGTCTTCACCTGGCTCCATGTCTGCCCACACGTTTTCATCTCCTCTTCACAACACCTCCTCCAAGTCACCCTTGCACTGACGACCAACTCGCCGCTTCCCTTTCAGTCGGGTTCCACTCGAGCGATGACTTGTCTAGTGATGTCACTGACGCTCACTAGCAACCGGCCTTATTCAGTAACGTACTAGCTACCTGGTTTCCAGTGGGGAGTCATGACCAGCGTGGAGTACAGCAGGTCAGGTATGAGGACTGGTCGTCGCACGATATCCTGAATAGGCAGAAGTTGGAATTCCTCATGGGCTGGCCATTGGATCCGGACCCAGTAGCTCAATGGTCTACAAGCTAGCTCGCCGTCTCGTAACCGATGGGTCCTCTTTTCCAACCAATGTGGTAGGTGCGTTCTGATGGAGAGTTACAAACTACATAGAGAAACAGCTGTCCAGTACTTCTCTAAGCAATGTCATCTCATGATGAAATTCCGTAGCCGATCTATAAAATAAAATCCCCGCAAACTACACTTGTTTTTGCAACTAGACCTCATCAGCATGTCGGTGGTAGAACGCTCGCCGACCCCGCGATCCCCAACGGACGTACTCATAAACCTCGCTGAACTGGTAAGTAAGGTCGGTAAACAGTGGGGGGAAGGCTAGTAAACTCGCCCCACTGCTACTAAAACTCCTAAGCTCTCTAGCTTGAAGCCATATGTTCCACAAGGAAAGTAAGGGAATGAAATACAAATAACAACAGAAAGATCTCATAAGGCTTAACTCTTCGACACAACTTTGCAAATAAGTAATAAAATATGAACCAATCACGGTCGTATCATCGTCAAAAGGACCATAAAACTGTGCAATTAGTCATAACAATAATAATAATATTAAATGAATCTTGTGCAGATACTTCGACGATATCTGAACATTTAATTAGGATTTAATTGGTGGATGGTGACTAGCAGTGGAATCCAGCCACGATGCGCATTTCGTCATATTTGGGACTCGTCAACTGGATGTACCTGCATTTCCCAGTGAGCGATGATTTTCCCACCACCGAGGCTCGAATCCAGTGCTCATAGTTTCAAACGCCAAAGCGTTATCCAGTAGACCACTTGGGCCAACGACGCCAAGACATCGTCGAAGCATCTGCACAAGAAGCCGACAGACATGTCAACCTGAGACCGAGCACTTCGGTCCAATCAATCGACGGGAAAATCTAAAATTCAATTAAATAATTAATATGACCCGTTGCATAAGAGGTCGCTCTCGTGGCTCAAGTGGTCTTGTGGATGACGACGCTTCGGTGTTTGAAACTATGGGCACTGGGTTCGAGCCTCGGTGGTGGGAACATCATCACTCACTGAGGAATGCTGGCACATCCACTAGCTGACGAGTCTTAAACAGGACGAAATGCGCATCCTGGCTGGATTCCACTGCTAGTCACCGTCTACCAATTAAAGCGTTCCTGTGGTAACAACAGTAATGATATTTACAAGTTGTGTGACCCCTGCCTCCCTCTCCCCCCCCCACTCACCCATACCACTTTATCCCAACCACAGATGTGTTGAAAAACACCATGTGAGATTTAAAAAAAGTATGAATTATAAAGATAGAAAAGAGAAAAATCATATAGCACATAACATCACGCATACATACGCAACATAAGGGGCTCTCTTCATCAACAGTTTACTAAGATGAAACTCTGAAGGAAAGCGTATGTTCATGTAGAAAAATAATCACCACGTGTATATGAAAGATCATGACAATTTTGGAATATCTGGTCGTGTCACTGCTGTCCGACCATCGCCAGCAGTGGACACTGGTGCATGTCCAGCACGTATAGGTTTAGCGATTTGTGATTGACCACGATGTCCAGTGATATTCCGTTGACGGACAACCTCTTTAATACGTTCTACTTCAACTAGATAACGTTTACGATCTCGCATAGCTCCTTCCTTAGCCTCTTTCAATGATACCTCTAAGCTGCGTACACGCTCCTGAGTACACTACAAGAAAGAAAGAAAACATTACAAAATAGGTTGCGATATAACCATTGACCTTTAAACGGATTTCTCATCTCTATTATGAGAATGCTTGTCAGTGAAAAATTGTCCTCAAACAGTAAAAGTATCTGTGTCCAGAGGAACCCGTACAGCCGCTATGAACAATCGTGAGATCAGGAGATTCAATTTCTCGTAGATCAATTTCACCTATCCACTAATTTCTTCACACATTATTATTATTCACATGAGACTTCAAACACTTACTTCCCTTTTAAATTTAATGATGACTACATTGCAGTTTTTATCACAAGCTAACATTATTCAGAGAACCATTGGAGAACCCGGGAGTGAGTACTGGGGATGATGGCTGTTTCACCCCAGCTTCGGACTATTCAGCAGTACGCACTCATGATCTACCAATCACAAGTCAAGCCCGCATACCATTCCGACACCGGGATCGAATCCACTGCCACACGAATTCTAACCTCTTCCAAATCGTAATTTTACCGTAACTGTCACCAGCCAATGTCGTCCGTGGCCAGGATTCGTCCAGTTACTAGTGACCAGAAATAAGTGGTCCTGAGAGTTGGGACACCAATGGATGCGTACAGCTGGACAGTCCCAAACTAACTAAAACCAAACAACAGTCCACTACACTACCCTGGTTTCCCAATGATTCGCTAACTCGTGTCAAACTTCAAACAAATCGGATCTCTACTAAATAACTCTTGAACATGACTACATTATTTCTCGAGTGACACTGAAAACTATAGTGTCAGTCAAGACCAGTCAGCACAAAGCATACACACTAACAATTACTGAAAGACAGTCTACCTCTCTAACACTTAATAACATCAACTCCAAAAGTATTAAGGTATGTACATCGACAAAAAATTAAGACTTCACACGATGCTACTAGCCACCCAGCTGCTCAGGTTGAATTAGGCTCAGGGCCAGGTGACTAGCTGGCTGGTTGGAGTCGAGTCATTGCACTCATCAGCCTCATGTTCAACAATTATGAGGCAGGCTACGACGCACTATCCCGATGGCGCCGCAAATTATTGCTTAGATGGCTCAAAAATTACTTTCAATGATGTACATCCACTCACATTTTTGTAATCTATCAAGGATCCATCAGTGTGTCGATGTAGTCATTCCTCCTCTCAGACATTTCAGTTTGTTTATGCGTACATCTAGGAAGTTTAGCCAGTTGGAACTGTTGTATTTTGTACAGTGATGATCTACGTTGAAAACTCAGTTCAGATCAGTTCACTTTTCTGGATTTCATATGCACAATATTCCTGCATAACACATTAATTATGTGTCAGGCATAACTAACTAACTAACTCGATGAGAAGTATGAATCAATTCGCTCATCTATTGTAGGCCACACATCTGCTATCTCGATGGCTATCGCTTATCAGATAGAGGTACAGCTACATAAACAAAGTCTTGATAACATGTCTGTGTGCTTCACGGACGATCAACGACTGACTGACTGACTGGTTTCAACATAAAACTAGCTCAAGTTGCCACTCTCCCTCCATGTAGCACACAAACCAAGATAAGAGAGTAAAAAGAGAGTCATCAAAAGACAGATAGTAAACAGAAGTGTGAGCTAGGTAAAATGAATAGTAATGTGGAAGAAACACTACAGTTTTGTTCGATATGACAAATTATAAAGAGTGAATGCATCTGAGCTAGCCATCACTGAGAACGAAGATTTCCAGTCATACCACCAATTGTCTCCAGCCATCACTGGTTCCTACCATCCCGAGGACACCAACCAGACAGCAGTCCACACATCCCTACTAACTGTTGTGGATTTCGTTGACTAACGAAGACAGGTTTTCTCGTTTGACCATCACTGCCTCTTTTCCAACTTGATCCATCATATGTCAGCGGCTAACACCCGACTACCCGTCAAGGAAGACGATTGGTGGCTAGACATTCGTAACACATGTCCTAATCATCTCAATCGATTTAGCTTCACAACTTCGGCGATTAATTCTACCTCCTTACCTAGAACTCGACTTCCAACCATAACATTACTTGCCATATTATACCAGCTAACAGCGGCGGAGACAGAACACAGACACCTACGATCAAAGACAACTAACCGGCCTTTTCATGTCTTCCACATCCAATGACCATATCTAACTCATCACAGCCATAAATTGGCGGCTAATGTCAAACGAGCCCTCTCCATGATGATCATCGACATCACTCTAATTGGCAGTAGTTAGAATTCATAGATGGTGACTAAATTCCATCGCAATGGCTGAATGGTCACAAACGAGGTCGCCTCGTTATTTCCAAGGCCCTAGATGCATAACGAAATCCCGATGCTTATGTCAGTTAGTGGATGAAATCAACAATGAAAAGTCTGTTTTTCATTTAAAGGACAAGCTAGAGAAAAGGTAATGATAATTACTAACCAACTAACTAACTAACTAACCTCAAGACGTTTTTCCGTTTTGGAAAGTTGACAACGTAGCTCTGCATTGTCATGTGCAAGTTGTTTATGCAATTTAGTTATTTTTTCAAGATTGCCTTCAAGGAAGGCAATTTTCTCTCTTTGAGCCGATGAACCAGCTAGACCTGGTTCATCGTCATCATCATCTTCCATGAATATAATTTCGGAGATTTGTTGTTGTTGAGTGGCCATATTACCGCCTTGCTGGTTACCTGTAGCTTTTTCAGCCGCTGCCATTGCATTCACACAATTTGCAGACTAAAAGAGAAATAGGCACATTTAAAATAACTAACATGGAATTTTACACTTGAATCCACAGTGTTCAAATCTTATAAAACTATATATACATGAGCAATCATCAGACAATCAATAATGTAAAAAAGTGCGGTTGAATGCCCACCGACCACGCCTCATGTGGTCCGGGGTTCGATTCCCGGTCACAGACACACTCCTTTACCTCTGTAAGCCAGTAATAAGACTGGTAAAGAGGGAGGTTGGATATGAGGCTAGCAACCCCATCCTGTAAAAGTAAACACCACTGCTACAGAAACTTCAAACCTCTAGCTTGGAGCCCCCTATGTTCCACTGGGAACGTAAAGGAACATATTTGTGAGAATCCACTTACCCAAGACGAGTTTCTCAATGTAACAGGACATCAGCCAGATCCATTAGCAGAATCAATTAGGTGGAGGGGGATTACGACCCCAGAGTCCACAGTTCAAAGTAGAATCCTCTCAAACCAACAATCAGCTACACTACAATATGAGACACAAATTCTTCCACAGTTGTTTGACGACTACTTCACTAAACATTATAAATAGTCCTCAAGGTAGATACATTTTGGTAGGTCTTTTGAGGACAGATTACATTTCTTAATTAAAAAAAGAAGTCAGCAGCACTTCGACTGGACACAAGGTAGCAACTAAAGTGTCTGCAACAAACCAAGGACTGGACGCATGACACTAGTTACTGGTGTAAGTGCAGAACTTGAACGCCGTCGTGGAATGTAAGTTGATATTAAATAGGTCCATTTCAAAGATCACACTGTGATGCAGTATTGATTAATAACTGAATGACGTTTGCTGCGAGTAAGCTGATATGATTATGAGTAGCGATTTGTGCTCAAAACGTCATCCATTTATTAATACTGCAATCACTCTGTGATATCTGCAATAAACTTATCTAATATGCAATTAGTTAGCACCTACTGTTCAACCAAACCATCCATCACAATCCTAAAGGAAGTCTATCGCCAGCAAGAATAGCTCAGCTGTAAAGTGTGCCACTGCAGCATCAGGTTACAATCTCAGAAGGGATATGAGTTCCTTCAAGAGAGACTGCGGATACGCCTTGCTGATGAGTGGTGATAAGCACCAAACCCACGTCAAGTGCTTCTCGCTCACCACCTCCAAACCAACAGTGGAGGAAACAGCACACCTACAAGTGTGCTTTTAACGTCTAAATTCTAAGGAATAACCTACTAACATTCAGACAGTCAGATAGGTATCATCAACCTACCGCAGTAGATGACCTGCATCACAAAAGAAGCTGCCTTCCTCATGAACAAATCAGGGTCTACCAGTTGAGTTGCATAAGCTAATTATACTTCAATGATAGATGAAAATCTATTGTTCCCGTCCTCTTCAATCCTACAAAACATCCATCCCAACTGACTCCATCCATAGCCACCACACTGGTGTGTGATGCAGCAGAGAGACAATAACATGCCACATTTACAACTTATAAAACACATTCACAATATCAATCAAGAAAGACAAACATTATCATTTCTCACATATCACAAACCTTTTTAGCTCGTCTACTAAGATACTGAATGAATAATCGTCGTAATTTGTGTAGTCTGTGCAATTCTATGATGACTGTCTCTTCCAAACCACGTAGATCTTCTTTAGCCTGTTCACGTTTCTCAGCTGTCTTCTCAAATGTGTCTAGCCGTCTAGTTTTTGTCTCCAATTCTTCACGTAACTGTTTCACCTCCTCTTGTGATTTCTCGGATTGGAATTTGAAATTATTGGCTTCACTGTGAATGCATAAAATATAGAGTTAAAATAGAAGTGAAGAGAAATGATGTAAAAGTTAAATAGGCTGATTTTGTCTTTAATTGATACTACCAGTCTCATTACTTTCACTATGAACACACACACACACCATTACTGTTATTCCAACTTTAGTCTTACTCAAAGGCCTGGTACGTGATGTCACCCAGCGGTCTCCTTCAGTGTGTGTATGCCGACGACATTACTGTGTCATTGCCAGCTGCTTCCCTAACTAACTCTTCCAAACTGAACAGCTTTCTATCCGACATCGGCCAGTCGTCTAGTCTAAGCTTAATGCTCTAACATCAAATAAACCCCTCCAAACCCCTTTAGCAATTAACCTCATCTTAACGAACTCATTACTTCACACGATGCTTCCAGCTTAGAGGCCAACGATTTAGACAATAAGTCAAGCAGAAAATACCCTACTATAGTCCAATACCCCAACCTCTCTTCACCTCCCCATATCTTGTCTATTTCTACGAAAATCCTCAGTCTAACCTTCTACATTGAGAAGTTAGAACAGTTCGGAATCACTCAACCTCAACTTTTACGGTTTGTTAACTCCTCCATCTTACCAATTACTCTACATTGCTCTCCACAAATACACCTTACTCTTTCCTGGACAACTTACTCAAAAAGAAGTATGTCCTATTACGCAGAGTATTAAAGGTTCTTCGTAGGGTAAGTTGTGTCCCAACTTAGTCGACAGAAACCTAAACTCATGTGAGAATCTGTCTAAATCTATACTGTCTGACTCTCGACACTCCATCCCGTCTCTATTCACAACTGTCACCGCTTTCCATCTCATCTGGTAGTTGTGTCTAGAAGTCATTATAAAAGATGATATGCTCGTTCGACAACCAAGTATAATAACTCAACGATACTCTATTCGGCCAGCCCACCCAACCGCCTTCTACTTGATAAAGATAAACAAGTGAAACTTACGAATAACTGGGCTATTGGCATCTTTTGAGAAAATGGGACAGTCATCCTCTCACATTTATAATTCGACGGTGACACTTGCTATCCCCATTATCTTATAATTTTGTGTCAGTAATACTGATAATATCATTATTATTATTATTATCATAATGTTCTTCCCCTAATGCCTAAAGTTGTTGGTGTTATCAATAATCCTGGTCAAGTGTACCCTGTACCTCTGTTGTTCTTTCTGTTGAGTGAATCAGACGCAATTATTGTACAAAATGCTAAAATCTTCACACTGCATGATGTTAAGTACTACTTTGGAATAAAGCAAATCAGTGGCATTAATGGTATTCACCTCCCTTTCTACTACGGTATATATGTGTTGAGCAGTAGGTTGACAATTGGTTGGTTGGTCGCCTTCCAGACTTCCTAGTTTAGGCCTCCTCCTTTCCAACCAGCTGACCTTAAGTATTCAAGTGAAGGCAGCAGTCTCTCAAGTCTACTGGAAGTACTTTTCATATGATAACGTGTGTGCCGAATTTCTGAAACACACAGTACAAGTACTGACACTTGACGCTATTGTTGACAATTCGAGTTTGTTTGCTTTTCTTTGTCTTGTGTGTTGTGGCTCTCTACACATCAATTTCACCGTAAGGAAACCCTGTCCTGCTTCTCCAGCATAATCACATTTCCAATGGTGTTGTCTGTAGTTGAAAACGATGCTGTCCAGGCGATAGTGCGCATAATGCTCTAACTAAATAATTATGCGTACAAAACGTCAAAAATATTTACATATTTGGTTTTAATCCTTACGTGTGTCTACCTTCTCAGACAAACCGAGCAGACTGAACTGAACCTTTCTGTACAGTTTCAAACAATAAGGAAAATATTCACTGGGATGAACATGAACATTATCATGATCATTATCGGAGCAAAGTAAACCCAATAACATCAAACTATCGCGTTCATTACGACAATGATACGACCTGTGGAGATTCGGTACATGCAGTTGTTCACTAGCTGACAGACAATAAGGCAACATTCCGTGCTAAAAGATCACAATTAATATGCTCTCACAGTATACATGCTGGTTGCTGATTTGAACACACTTTTCACTCAGATAGGCTGTTGTATGACCTAACACCAACCCAGTGATTCGGTGAAGGAAGGCCTCCAATTATCACTCACAATTCGACAGGTTGAAATAGAGATGAGGAACTATGGGTTGAAATTCAACTAGGTCTAGTCAGTGGACCACATCTCCACAACACACCTATCAAGAAACAGACAACTTACTCCTTGTATTCTTCCAACTTCTTCTGTTTCTCGTCTAATTCATCACGTAGAGATTTCATCTGTGCTGCATAATACTCTGATTGTCGTTTAAACTCTTCATCTAATTTTGCTCGTAACGCTGATTGGTCAGCTATTATTTGTGCATTTTGTTGACCAGATCCGGTGATGAATTGTTCATTAGCGCGTAGTTTTGCCAACTCCGCATTTAAGCTATCCACTGTCTCCTGCAATTGACGCTTACGTGATTCTGACTCGTCAATTTTATCGCTTAGGGTGCCAACTTTCACTTCAGACTTAGGAGAAAAAGAAATCAGAAAGGCATATCAAAAATGAAAGAATTCTCAGAAATAACATTCGATTAACACCTATCTAAATACAAGCGTTATTTAAGTCGAGTGTCAATGACAATAAATGTGTACCACGCAACAACCAACCAGCCAACTAACCAACTGCATATAAACTATCGATGGTGGCTTTTTTTGGCTTCCATCGTTATCAGTGCACACAGAGTGAAGAGGAAGTGAAGAGCCATCAAGTAGAGGAGTTGCATTAGTAGAAGGAAGGCAAGATAATAGAGATGAAGATGGAGACAAAGATGAGTGAGGATTAGAGAGGTTTCGCGTGCATTTCGGATTGTGAGGGCGATTGTTACTTCCTGGCTGCCCACACCACGGAAGTTGGTTGCGTGACCGCAGAGCCCAGGGGACAACTGCTTGAGGCCGGTCACACACGGCCTGTTTTTGTTTGTTCTGCATATACACACCGTTTATTGGCAGTGAGAGTTACACATCTACTGCAGTGTCAGAGCTTATACATACTCACACACACCTAAATGACCAAATTTTGCCAGGTGTGAAGGAATTACAGCCCGTCAAACAATGGTTAACGGTTGAACGACTAAACCCCCAATGAGTAACAGGTCGGCTGTATAAACAAACTTCTGCATAGTCACCTTCAATTTAACTCTTCAACACACCGTATTCTGCTAAATTCTCAACAGAACAGACACAGGAACCGTTAATCCTCCTTTTATCAATCACATATATCCTTGTGCGATGAATGCAATGTTCTGCTTAAATCACTCAGCTACACATATACATTCCCCCCATCCAATCAAAGTTGCATAAACTACGTTCCACTACCATCCATCCGACTATGTCCTTGAACAACTGAGAAATTCAGTAAAGTGGATCTCGTTCCATTTATCAATCAGACAGATATATTTACATCCCTAGACCTCTTTTATTAAAACTTGATACCAGTAGCTAATGTCTCAAATACCTTGAACACATTCATTGGGCTAGCGAGTCATGATAATAGCTTCATCTTTCCCAAAACAGGTGTCAGCTCGTCACAGAATTTTATTTTAATTTCCCATTTGTCTTAACATAGAATAGATCAAATTGAGCGTGTTTTAAAACGTATTCTTATTCAGTTACCTGAAACAAGTCGCATATGTACACCACACATATAGAGGTCACGCTTATTTTGAGCATATGAGAGGAACACAAGGAGAGAGAAAGATGGTGACACAAACCAGTTGCCCTCAGGGCTGAAGAGTAGATAGAGCGGAATTATAATCCGGCACCTGTTACTGGCAAAAAATCAAGTGATTAAGCCAACCAACCACGATGTATCATTTGTCCACCATACCTTAATACTTGACAACTGGCCTTCATTCCGACTGAACTATTATTATTAATCGGCTGCATGTATCTACATATGTCGATGGACGGAGTCCAGAAAAGCGACAACTTCACCAGTCTATAACATCTGATCTTACCAGTTAGTAGGAAAACAGCAAAATGACAACGCATACACAGGCACACAAACACATACAACCACATGTCACTCATCATAAAAATACAACATATATACTTGACTTACAGCATGAAGTCGTGTTCGAAGATCTTTACATTTATCATCGCTCTTACGCAATAACTGTACATGCTGTACACGTTCCTCTTCCAATTGACGTACACGTGAGTGCAGTGATTTCGCCTCACTTTTCATCTTACTTATATACAAACGAACAAAAGCAAACTCTTCATCTAATCGTTCAGAACTAACAGATGGTTTCTGATGTCGTCATCGTCGTCGTCAACAGAAAACAAAAGAAAGAAAGGCAAAGAAAAAAAAAACGAGAAATTGTAACCAACTGTTGGAGTAGAAACAGTAAATCAGAGAGTAAAATTAAGTTTTGTGAACTGACTAGTCATTTCAGAGAGTAATCAATCCCACCGGAGAGGATTTACGTTCAACAGTCTATTTAGCCCCATGATGACATCTAATCCTACCCGGTGAACTAACTAAACAAGACAATATGAATTACAACAAGTCAGTGGAAATTAATATATGTGTAAAATTTGGGCACTGTGATAGTAAGTAATAATTCCATATTAGTTTGTTTATTAGATATATCACACAGTCAGTGAAACAGTATCATTATTATCCAGTAAATAATACCGTTCGTGCGTTATTATTCATTTGAGTGCGATCCGAGACGTCATTAGATAATGAATGATCCATCCCATGATCTTACTTCATATTATTTACTCCACTCATGTAGTGTAATGTGGCAACAACGACTTTATTAATTTCTATTTTGGTTACAGCTTGATGCCATACCGTATTTTCAGTACAGGTATGGAATTTTCAGCATGTTATATCGGTAGCCCAAATTTTGCAGGCCGACCAGAGATATCGGGTGTGCGTCGGCGGGGGATAGAACCTCGGACCATGTGCATGGTCGGCGAGAGTCCTAACCACTGTGCCACCGACGCACCATGTCCTTTTGCGAATAGGCCAGATTCTATACGACGATAATACGCTCATCCCGGGATAGTGAACTTATAAAAATAGTGTATGCGCCATGATTACTTCCCTACCCAGACCGCTCACATTCTTGGAATAAGAACCCATTCAATAATAAAACAAAATTGATAAATACTTTTAAACCTACCGTGATTTGATCATTCAAGCATTCACCAACATCAATTAGATCCTTCAATAGGCTAGACATCATTTCAGTATATTTCTTCTTCTGATTTTGATGCGTATCCTTCAACTGCAACAATTCACCGTCTTTACTATGCATTAAACGGGTTTGTTCTAGCAAGGACTCTTGAGTCTCTTCAAGTTCTTTCGCTTTTGCATCAACCTCTTGAGCCTTTTGGTCATAATTTATTGCTAATTCTTCTAAGGCTTGCAGGACTTCCTTCATTTCATCTTTGCTCGACTGGTATTCAGCCTTGACACACACACACAATGAGTGAAGAAAAAACTCCATTTAGAGGAAACACTTCACAAAAATAACAAAACTGTCAGCATAATAATTCTATCAATACAATACTATGTGATTTATGTAGACTTCGGTGAGTATTTCTTCTACAAAGCAGACGGGGTGAGGAGGGAGGGAGGATGCAGTAAGGATGAAAGTGGATAACTGATACCACCTAGAATAGAGAGATTAGTGGATAGGCAAAATCCAAGTTGCTGGTTGTCAAAAACGAGTGGCAGTCATCATGTGCTTTAGAAAGAAGAGGGAAATAACTTCAGTACTCTAATACTTGCCGATTCATCATAATTATGAAACGGTTAGACTTAAGACAAACACCTACCCTTCAGTCTGAAAGTTTCCACAATGTCTTTCCACATTTCATCTATTTATAGCCTTTCCCAATTTAGTGTGTAAGAACCACGTGAGTTCAGTAATTTCACTCATCCACTATGAATGATGAAAACTCATGCCTACACCATCATCATCTTTACCAGTGAAGTCAAACCACAGTTATTCTAATACTTCTACTACTCTTACCACTGTTACTGTTACTACTGCTTGAAAGTTCACCAGAATAAGCAAACAAAATAACATGCACTCTGAGGAGGAAGAAAGCACCTTAGACCAGTTTACATGAAAACACATGAGAGATTCACTGCAAAAATAATTTCTAAAAAAACCTCTTGACAATATGACAGGAAAACACTATTATATCATTAACTAATATCAAACACCACTTTAACAAGAAGCTCATCTGAAACAACAGTCACAAGAACATATATGCCCATCACATAGTATTCACATTCAATGAAAAACAAGGATGCAACTGGAGCTCATACATTTTATGTACTCACTCCACTACCAGCCACTGGGTAACGCGCTAAGAATATTACTTTTCCTACAGAGGGTTTGGGCAACCACTAACAAGGCACCAGTGGTACGATTAGTGCTCACATACAATAGGTGTGACTCATCGACAACTTCGTCGAAATCCAAGTGGCCACTGAATCTTACCTTCTCTCAACCTCCACCCACCGCCTTCTACTCTCCAATGAAAAGCAACACAACGGACCTCAGAAAATCTACCAAATGATAAAAGCAGTTAATTATAACGGCTAAAATGTATCACCTTTCAATACACTTCCATGGATATATAAATGTATATAAAGTTCACAAAATGTACTACTACTTACCTGAAGAGTTGTAATTTCTTTTAATTGTCCCTCACGTTCTAAACGCAAAGAATTGTTCACCACGTCTTGCTCTTCAATTTGCTGGTGAAGACGCGATATTGTCTCAGCCTGTTTAGTTATTTCATCATCTCTGTCGTCAAGTTGTTGATAAAGCAACTGTAACTGTTCATCTCCAACTTTCCTTGCCGAAGCCAAACCAGCTCCGACAGTTTTACTGCCCGGAGTGTAGGCTGAGAGAAAAACAACACACAATGATCAACATTCTACATAGTATTTATGATACGACAAGAACGTGTAATATCTCATGGTTTCAACAAAACAAAACAAAATTAAAAAGAAACTGACAAATGATCAAATACATTTCGATAACTTTGCATACCAAAAAAAAGCCAAGGCAAGCATACAATCGGAATGGAATAACCACTTCTGAGTTGTAACAACACATTCTTGGTTGCCAAAATGCCATCAGTTTACTCAGAAATACAGACAAACAACAACCACTCAGTCAGTCAAATAGTTAAAACATTAATTGGTAAGCTTACTCGGTGTAGAAGATACTCCCTGTTTGAATTACAGATCAAAGCACATCTCTGCACAGAAGTTTAAGTTTCCGTGCCGGGTCTCTAGTTAATGATTTTCACTATTCCAAGGACCCTCAGCTCAGTCAGATGGTCTAAACACCCCCACATCTTCATACCAACAATCACTACACTGACAGAAGTGCACAATGGTCACTCAACCGTAGCCAATGCGAGACTTCCTTCAGTCATAAGCATCGATGAAAACTCATTAATCATGTACATGATGCTGTCACTAAGCTCACTAAGATGATACTCACGTTAGTTTCGGGCTAGAAAGCTTGGTAGCAACGTTGCAGATGTCGGTAATGAGTGACGTATCATTGAAAATCACAGGCTTCCTCCGATGTTGACGGTATATCTTTCTGACGAGTACCAAGAGGTAACAGAATCAGTTGCAATGTCGAGTCACTACGCCTACTGACACCAATGTAAAAGAAACACCAATACGTCATTCATCAAACTAAATTAGGTACGGATAGTGACAGTGGGCGTTCTTAGTGCAAGCACACTGATCATCGCCAACCGCACACAACTTTCCATATACCCTCAAAACAGCTGCACATACCTGCGTAGGGCTGTTGGAATAAGTCAACATCATTTCTCAATAAGTTAGATGAAGTCAAATTCTACGTTTAGGTCAAGAAATATGTCAAATGCGGGACTCTAAAAAACAAGTTTGAACAGAGAGGACATGATAATAGACCTTTGCCCGGAACTGCAGTCTGTGTGCTTGACTGTTTCATTTCCCCAAGTATCCTGGATGCAATATCAACCAGTCTGATCCCCCTGTGATCAGCACAGGAGAAGCCTAGCCATCTACACAAATCTGAAACTATCTAAGACCCACACACACACATTGACTAGAACACCAATTATCCCACTCCACTATTCATCACCCTCATCTTGAAACACCTGAGGAGCTATCCTGTCGGTAAGTTGACGCAATCCTCTTCGTCTTAGATCACAGAGAGCTTCTGCAACCCCAGCTACAGTTCTACCACCAATGTCTACATTGGGAAAATAGAGCTACTTTAAGTGCTAGCTTCCTCACCAACTGAGAAGAAAAATATCACTACTTCACAACATTTACAAAACATTGTGGAGAAGGGAAGTTAGAAGTCACTAGATTCACCGACTTACACAAAACTCCTCAATAACATAAGGTGAAATATGAAATGAAAATAACACACAGTATTAACACAAAGTATTATGAAAGGACAATAACCAACAGAAGACGAAATAGACTACCTGGAGACGCATTTGTGAGGCCAGTAGATCGTGGGGTAGAAGTAGAGACGCTGTCTAGCAGTGGTGTACCGGGGAAACTGGGTGTAGTTATCGAATCTCTTGTATCATCTATAGCACCAGCATATTGATTTTCTGTGAACCATTCAGCTTGGTTAACAGTTTCACCTGAAATTTAACATATAACACAGATTATATGACAATAAAAATTACGTTCAATTCAACTTCTATATCTATGCACGATGTTCGCTGGAACTATTACACCTTTCCTCAGTCTATATACATGAGTGGGAGTGATGAATGGAGTGATTTCATGTGACCACATTGTCACAATATAAAAATGGGATACAATATTACTTTACTAGTGATCCTAACTGCTACATGTCATTTCTCCACACTAAAAATTATAACTCAGCTTCCCAAGACCGCCTTTAGGAGTTACGTCTGATAGGTGAGGACTGGTGACAATAACCAGTTCCCTAGGCTAAAATAAGCAAAGCGGGCTTTCGACCTCCTCACCCATTAACTCAACTTTACATACTTAACACAATCAGCCATACATCAACGCACATCAAGCAGATAATAAGACAACAGGATGGAAATAATCTAATCGGTCGTAAAGCAGGATAAAACGAAGAAATAGATGATAATGTAAATAGAGAAATGAGCTATTATAACAAGGATAGTCACAAACCATGAATCCACCCCTATCATCACTACGATCAATTCTGAACACTATCACCAGGAGTTTCTAGCCATAGGTTCTGATCGGCGTGCAGCTGATTCGCTTAAGCGCTCCATTTTCAGTCCACGGGTTTGGAATTCATGGCCTGTAAAATCGAATTCAGCCTGCTCAACTTGGTAGCAACATTAATTTTCACAAAATATGTGTGGCTTACGACCCGATACACGAGAAATCTGCTCTGAGCAACTCAGTCACTTTATGCTGCTGATATTTTCAATATTCCCAGTATACCCCCCACACCAATATCTTACTTTCCTTCTGTGCTATTTGTAAACATTCCACTCCTTTACATTCTTTATTCCAACTCACAAAGATACAACTTACAAAAAAAAATAAACATAACTATGATACAGAAACAGCTTAAACTGGATACCGGCAATTGATTCACATACAATTTTGAATCCTTAATTTTAAAACCTTTAAGTTAAACTTAAGCAGAAAACAGTCACAGTAAATATTTCTTACCTGCTCGCCAACGTTTTAATTCACTTTCCAGATGACTTAAAATAGTGTGGGACTTGCCAACCTTCTCTTTTTCCTGCTCATACCTTCTACGCCATTCATCAGCCGTAATTTCTACGTTCACCGTTACCAGATTCTTGATAGTTTTAGCTCGCATACCGAACATTAGGGTGGACTTCGTCTCGGCATCATTGTAACCAGCAGGAGAACAACAAATCACCATAGTTGTTCGTGCATTACCTCCAAGAGACTCTTGAAGAATGCGAGTTAGTTTAGAGTCACGATAAGGAATATGAGACTAAAACAGAAAATTATTCAACAGATCAATAGCTTGATAAGGCAGTAGCAGTCAACTTCAAATAAGCACAACATATGCAGACAAGAGATTCAGGTTACCGTAGGGGTTAAAAATACGATTTAGTGTGATGGATTCTTCTGCCTCAGAAACATACACAGAGAGCACATGCAGACAGGCATGATCAAAACACAACAATTCAATATCTCACGTGTCATAATCACATGGAAATTCAAAGTCAACAGTGGCTAGAATACAAGCACTACTACCACCACCTGAAAGTATAAACTTACACTTCCTTCCACGAGTGCATTGATCACATTACCAAGAGCAGAAAGTGATTTGTTAATATTTTTGGCTTCGTCCAATACAGTGCCCTCAGCGCCTGTCTTCGCAACTTTCTCACTACCAGCCAAATCAACAAGATAAAGTTTCCCATGTAGTTTCTTTTGAGTTTCCAAGTTCTCTTGTCGAACATTGATCAGGAATACTGAGTGACTTCGAGAACTGTGCTCATTCATGTCTACACATAGATAAAAAGTCACAAATTAGTGTCAGCAAATAACCTCAATGTCATATAAACTACAAGATAACTTAAATTTCATGCACAGAAACGTAATATTTCAATCAAACCACCAAGCCTAGCTAACAATGCTAACACTCAGGTGCTAGGAATACTTACTTGTCACGGCCACATGACGGTTAACTTTCCCCTCGTCAATGGCTTTAAAAACCTCTTCTGGAGTGGAAACAAACTTTTCCGTGACACCCTTGAAGATTCTCGTTAGGAGGAATTATATCTTACTTTCACGTAAGGAACTCGATCTTTATCTTCATGGACCTGTAGGTTTGTCTTCGAAACTGAATCAAGATATAAATTAGATCGAAAAATTTACCATCAAGCAGATCACGAATTTTTTCCATGTATATTTCAAAGTAAGAAACCTGAAGATAAGAAGAACAGCACCACAAAAATTACCTTAATATGGAACTCCAAGTTTTCATCCATTTGGTATATATGGTTGAATATATCGTGAACTATCCGCGGGATAACACCTTGAAAGACTGGGTCACCTAAAATACCCTGCGGAGAAACAATGAGAGAACAGAATGTCATACCTCCATAGTAAAAGTCTTTCCACTTGAAGTTTGACCATAGGCGAATATTGTCCCATTATATCCGTTCAACACATCCACAACAATGGGCTTGGCCACAACTTCATACACCTCCAACTGAGATGCCTTCGGCTGAACTACATGATCGAAGCTATAGTTTTTACCCTAGATAGAAGAGTTGTCACAAACTAAAAACCATCAAACATACCCCAAGAGATACAGTTGTGTTTCCATCACCGGGGAATGACACCACGAACTTGCTGTCATTTGCTTTCTCTTGTTCATTGAGTGGCCTTACACGGCATATAACCTTAATGCTCTCACTCATAGTAACGACACGCTGAGTAACTTCTCGGGAGCCCGCCAATGTCTTTGGGCAATGAGTGAGCACACAGATAAACAAAACAGAACACATGTTGAACAACATGCGTAAAGTGAGCATGAGTCAAACCGAAAGAGTGTGGGTGAATTCCTTGCAGTTTATACAGTCTCTTTTCGTTGCTCTGTCTCCTCTCCTCAGTGCCAAGTTTAAGAGACTTGGTACTCTGTTCATCAAGCGGCTATTTGTAGAATTTGGGAAGGTTGTCGTGATGGAATGCACGGTAGGGTCCCAGCTGACTACAGTGAGTAGCAATAATGATAATCTTCCATGAAATACGTATTTAGGTGTTGTGCATGCGTGATTTCAAATGACCTCTGAGGTGGAGAATAGGATTTTCACCATGTGTAGTGGAAATGAAAATAGAAACCAATTGGGTGAAAACATCCGCAAATAAAAAGACCATAGGTATTTTTGCACTATTAGCTAGATGACAGATCTCTGTTGCATGCCATATCATAGGCTATTGCCAATCAATTACGCGATTCTCGAACCTATCTGAGCAAAAGTTAGGACTGGTGTTTGAACCTCAACTATAATAATAATAATAATAATTTGCTTTATTCTAAAACAGTACTTGTGATACAGAATGGAATTCTCAGCATTTTTTACTACAGTATTGCATCCAGTTAGTACATTGTCAATAAATAGAATTCTACATAGATTGAGGAAACCACAGTTCATTTTTACAACAATACATTGGCATGTTCAGTAGCAAAGGTAAAGCTGAAACAGTGTTTGAAGGTGTTAGAAAAGTGGGAGCTGTCTTATTAACTGGCGTAAGCGAAAGAAAGAGACAAAGCAGCACATAACGGAAAAAGATGAGAGAGAAAAGGAAAAGAAAGAAAGAAAATGTTGAACCTATTGATGAAGTGGGTTGGAAAGATGAGCTCCAGTTGTATTAATGACTATTTAATGAATTATAGGTGTCACGCCTAATGCTTTCTTTATCACACAGAACGCGAGCTAAGTAGGGTATGGTTGAGTTTTTGTACTTGCTGGTGCGAGCATATAGTTTTCTATATTGGCTTCTTGTTTTACCTGATGAGATGCAAGGGGAGAGTTGTGAATGAAGAGGGTGGTGTGAGTTAGATAAAATGGACTTGGCCCATTTTTCACATAAGTCCATGTGCCTGTCAACCAAAATATTAACAAGCTGGTTAAGTGGCACGTTGCTTACTCTGCTGACAACATTTAACATCCTGCGTAATATGTTATAGTCTTTCTTCAGTAGCCCAGGAAAAACTAAGGGGGAACAATAGAGAATAATAGGCAGGATGCGAGAATTAACGAATTGTAGGAGTAGGGGTTGGGTAATACCAGAATGTTTTAACTTCTTAATGTAGAAGGCAAGACGGAATATTTTCTTAGAAATTGCTAAGATATGAGACGACCAGGAGAGATCAGCAGATAGAATGACACCTAGGTATTTAATTTCCGATTTAGTTTCTATTTCAGTGCCGTCTATTTTGCATACCTCGTGAGAGCCAAACAGTTTGTTTAGGTCGGATTTATGCCTAAAGGTGAAATTGACTGTTTGGCATTTGGAAGGGTTTAGAGTAAGACCATTTTCCTTGGACCACTGGCTGATTTCTGACAGAAAGCCATTAAGTTTAGAGCAGTCGCTTTGACATTTGATAGGCAAAGATACAGACAGATTGTCAGCGTATTTGACAAAATTAATGTCATTTGAAGATGGTAAGTCATGTAGAAAGAAAGAAAAGAGAAGTGGGGAGAGTACAGCGCCTTGGGGGACTCCGGCTTCAGTGAGTGCAGCAGAGGATGATTTACCTTTGTATACGGTGTACTGCTTTCTGTTAGAGAAGTAGGAATGCAACCAGTTAGTGACCCAGGACTCAGTTTTCGTCAAAGAGAGCTTATTTAGCAGGAGACATCTAGGTACGGAGTCGAAAGCAGAAGTGAAGTCAAGAAACGTACAGCGGATGTATTTAGCACCTTTATCTAATGATGAGACGATGTTGTTGTGTAGGACAGCTGCAGCGTCTAATGTACTCCTACCCTGTCTATAGGCAAATTGTTTTGGGTCTTCAAAGTTTTTAAGGGAGGGTTCAAGTTTAAGAAGTATTAGTTTTTCCATAACCTTTAGAAACGGGGAAGTGATGGCAATGGGTCTGAACTTTACGTTCTTGCCATTTCCAGGTTTAGGGACAGGGACAATTTTGATGTCTTTCCATGCATCAGGTACGATATTTTTGGAGAAAGAGGCATTTAGGATGTTGGTTAGTGGAGAACACAATACATCTGCACATTGTTTTAGAACATAGGCAGGTATACCATCAGGACCTAGGCTACGTGAGGGCTTGAGTGTTTTAAGACATTTTAGAACATCGAGAGTATTAAAGTCATGAAAGTTTTCAGCTACATGATAGGTAACATTAGAGGTAGTTAAGGTAGAAGGACAGCGTATAAAAGACTGATTAAGAGCATTAACATCATAAGAGGGAAAAGTATTACAACGCTTACTATTACCAGTAATTTCATTTAAAAGTTTCCACATACTGATTGGAGATTTACATGATAAAAGTGTATCATTATATATAGCATTAAGATTTTT